AATTTAACTTATTCATTGTAACTAACCATCTTTTATTTTTGAAAATTTCCATATAAAATTATTTTTTCAGGGTTTTATTTTTGCAATACTGTTGATTGTTTCAAAATAAATAAGTGTGACTTGGGTCTTTGGAGTATAGTTATTTATATTAGTTCATAATCTAATATCAGATTAATCTAATATCTTGATAATTCTACATACAGTAGTTACATAGAAAATCTACTATGGTCAAGTTTTTAATGCTGGGAGCACTAATGTAAGCTTATCAAAAATTAATTACAAATAAAAAATTTGGGTTATTTCTCATAACTCAAATCCAAATACTACACTAGTAAGATTAATACAATTTGATCAATGTATAACGTTTACTCAGATATATTTGTGATGAAAAATAATGAATCAATATTTCAGATTCTAAACTATTTAGATAAACTACCATAAAGTTCTGTTATTTAATAAGAAAATAAAAATTTTAAATTACGCTAAACAAATATTTTAGTTGTTAATAGTTCTATTTTAACATGTTCAAGATAAAATTATTTAAAACTTAAAGTAGGTTTCAACTTGGATTACAATTAAAATACACCTTTGAAAATAAAATGGATTTATTGCTATTCTTGCTAAGATTGGTTTAAAAGTAGCAGCACAATATTGTATGATTTCTCATTTTATAATACAAGACAATTTAATTGTTTGTTTATAATTGCTTAAACCTAACCAGTTGAGAAACCCCTRCTATAGAGTATAGAAAAAGTATAATTCCAAAACCAATGTGAGTGTGTATATTTTGAATATCAATTAAGTATACATTAATTCTATAGCAGTGGTTCTCAAGCTCTTTTGGTTCACGGCACATCATGATACATCACAAACATTCGCAGCACACTCAATACAAATGTAATGAAATAAATTACTGTTTTCAATATTTTTACCAGCATAATTACAAATATCAGAAACTTATCGCAGCACACCTAGTCGATCTCTTGGCACAGTATTGTGCCGCGGCACACCGGTTGAGAACCACTGTTCTATAGTATGCAATTAATTATTTTTTGAAATTATTGAATAGGTGCTAGGTAGTAATAAATAATAATGAATTAATATAGAGCTTTTATATACACTAGATTTGTTAGACATCTTCATAAGTATTATTGTGTAACTAAATATTAGAAAAAAAGTTATTAACTAGATTATAAATTGTAAGTATATGAAAATAATTTACTTGACTTTAATGTAGCAAAACCTTTAAATTAATTTAAGAATGTTCTAAATAATATTATCTTATCTAAAATTTGTTTTTCTATTTTTAAAATAAATCACAAGTTAAAATTTCTGGCATGAATTCAACAYAAAATGTTTAAATGGAAACATGTTTTATTTATAGTAAATTTAACAAAATATGCATGTATAAAATTTAAAAACTAACTTATCAGTTATAATTAATGTAAATTACCAACTATGTTACATTATCTCAAAATCATCTCTTAGGTCATTATATTCAAGCACACGTTTCTTGATAGCCGAATTATCCACCCATGTCACAAAATCTTCTAAAGGTCTGAAAATATTATATTGTACAGTATTAAATATTTTTACTTAATAATATATATACTTCAGTTAATTATATAAGTAATAATTAAAATTAATTAAGTATTGCCATTGTATTAAGTTATAAAATAAAAGTTTTTTTTTTTGTTAATTGTGCTGTTTTTAAACATAAAATATAAATTATTACTATTATAATCAGACACATCAGGAAAATACACAATACAGATACAATCAGCTAAATATTTACTTAGGTATATGCTTTTTTATGCTGGTAGGTCATAATGGCAAGAACTTAATATAACCTATGAGAATATGTAAAAAAAAATTATCATCAAATAATAAGTTGATATATGATTGTAAAACCAAATATCATCATTGTACATTTAGAGAATATACACTGAAAAAATTCTAGAGTGAGTATACACTGTATATCCCCCTCAATTGAATAKAATGCCATGTTTTTTAAGTACAATATGTGATTTCATATAGGTACAGTACAAGCAATCATTACTATAAAAAAAAATCAAATRAAAATAATATAACAGCCAACAGGTATCCCACAAAACCTTACTTAAAAAAAGTAGAGTTTGCAATARAGGTTCACATAATGCAAGTGGGGGGACTGTTATTAAGAGGATGTCAGTGCACTATTTATTTTCTCTATCTGGCCCATACTCAACATAGACAAAACACATTTACGCAGAATCATTTTTTCTWAGTTTTAAGTAATCTTCGAGTAAAATCACCCATTACAAAAAAAATAGAAAATAATATTTTTGAGGGAATGACATATCAACATTATATTATTTTATTGTTATTTGATTTTGTGTTCAATTTTCAAAATAAACAAAAAAATTTTGTAAATTTAAATGATGTTTAAATTGTTTTGAGACAATATTTACACAAATCAATGTCATTCCCTCAAAAATGTTATTCTCTTTTTTTTTAGTTATTGATTTTACTCTAAAATTACTTAAAAACATAGAAAAATGATTATTAATAAAGATTATTTGTCAGAAAACGTTTTTTATCGAACTACTTTAATATTGGACTAATCCTAAAGGTTATATTTAGTGTCACAACAATATTTTTTTGAACATAAACTTTTTTTGTAATTTCAGGAACATTGTATTGGAACTTAGAACATAAGAGATAAAAAAAAAATATTAATGCAATTTTGCAATAATAGTATGTTATATTCCAATACCATTGATTATAAATACTATATAATAATACTAGTATTTATAATCAATGATAATATATTAAGTAAAGGTAAACTTTAGAAGCAAAGAATTTCCATAATATGTCACTTATCCCACCAGAAATTTATATTTACTTTAAACTAACAACAGACAAACAACTAAAGAAATCTGCTGAAAAACTGATACTGATGATTGATGATGATAATGTTGATTTCTTGAAAATTAATGTGATCTTACTACATATTATATTTTATACCTAGTAATTTTGATCTTTAATAGACAGTAAATATTAAATAGGTAGATCTACTACAAATATTATTTTTAGACTACAACTACTAATGTGATATTTGCTGCTGTTGATTTGTCACCTTGTTTAAATTTCATAGCTAGGGAAGTGGCACATGCCTTCTCTAACATAAAAGCTTTTCTTTTTTTTTTTTTTTTGCTGTATTGTACAGAAATCCCTTTCAAGTTATATCATTAATACAATGAATTTGCTTCATAATTATCTTTATTTTAATCTATCTCATTTGTGTAAGGTCGGCTATGGCTTGTTTAATAAAAGTTTTAAGTTATGGTCTAATCAATAATACAATCCAAACAAAAATTAATTTTTATGTTTACACACATATATACTTCTATCAAAACATTAATCCATGGCTTAAAATAATGTTAATACATTGTAATGTAAGACTGAATACATTTAAGTTTAGCCGGGACTGTAGTACTGTACCGGTTTTGAATATAGGGTACCACTATCCTGATAAATTGTTTCAGGACGAGAAATTGTCCCGGAATCAAACATAAATAATTAATGTTAACATATTATTGTCTTTCAGCAAATATTTGGATAGATAAATAATAAATTTGATTATTTGATTGAATGACAAAATCTATTTTAAAATTATACTCCTGGATTGGTGATAACAATATTATTATTGTTTTTCCTGTTTCCCCATAACAATTTATGTAACACTTTTGGCTATTAATCATTTTTTAGGTTAATTATTTTATTTTTTTAACGTAGATTTGATGTTTGCATCACAAATTTAATATGTTGTAGAGTGCTGATTTTTTAGTGTTATTCTAGTGACGACGAAAATTGTATGTAAAAACTGGTTAACCGAAGAAGAGTGGTACAATTTTTTCAATAAAAATTATACAAAAATTGCTTGTCYTAGTTCAAGTTAAATAAAATATGGCAACCCCGCCATAAAAAAGTACATGCTATTAACAATGAGACCATAAAGTAGGAGATAATAAGTAGGAAATAAATAATTGCAACAACTAGAAAAAATATTCTGACTATGGCACTGAAATGTTAATCAATATATTAATCCAATATTGGTATTATATAATTGTGCAACACTAGTTATAATTTTTTAAAGTTTGAATTATAGAGGTAAGGACAAGTGATTTAAGTATTATTGTATGAAGAAAAAACGTAAGCTTAAAATATAATAATCATTAAACTATAGATAAGTAGTTCTAACTCTTGAGTAGGTTAGGCAAATAGCATCTACATAATATACAACTTGTATTTGTAAGGTATTTTCTATAATTTTGTGTACATCTAAATTATTCAAGATTATCAGATTCTAAAATATTACTACTTAAAAAAAAAAAAAAAAAAAAAAAAAAAAAAAAAAAAATGCTAATATTATAAGATATAATATGAAATACCTTGATACTAAGAAAGCTGGATCTTTTACTAACTGTGGACCAACTCGAACATGTCCTTGTTCTATATAGGTAGTAGCAGATTTCAGTGTTTGAACCATTTTGGACCGAACCATTATAACAGGTAATCTACGTCTACAGAAACATGATGCAGTTACCTTTGAACAAAGCTCAAAGTTCCTTTTTGTCGTGATTAATCCCATCATATACCTAAAAAAAAWTTTTTGTTTTACACAGTTTGAAACATTTAAGAAGTAGGCTTTTTAACGGGGTACGAATTGCACGGGTTCATCATTCTATGAAACATCAATTCACCATGACTCTGCAACGGTACCAGGATTCAATAAAAAAGTTGATGAACAACATAATCAAAGCTACAATTTGAAACGGAAAGTTCAAAGGTAAAGATGTACCGTTGCCATACATCCCAATGATTCCAACAGATATGCCTTTTGAATTCAAACTTTAGCAGTTTCCAGTGAGACTAGCCTTAGCAATGACCATCGCTACAAGTGGGTGGACTGAATTTGGAATATCCATGCTTCTCACATGGACAGCTGTRTGTGGCATTCTCACGTGTTGGAAAACCTTCTGATTTATTTGTGTACACATCAGAAGGAAAAAAAATATTGTGTATCCAAATGGATTTAAATAAATATTATTCAATTTAATACTTGAATTGTCAGACTTTTTTCGTTAAAACTAATAAAATTATTTAATAATAAACTAAATTGATTATCAGTGTAAAATTATTACTTAGTATATTTTAACCATTATTTATTTATATGTATAAAAAAATACTGCTAGCATGATCACAG